ATCTTGAGGCAGAACCTAAGAACCTAAGGGGTGGGGCCCAGGCTGGGGGAGTGGTGGTGTGATGGTTGATCTGCTCCTTTGGCCTGTTAACACCATCTTCTATTCTGGGGTTCAGTGGCAGGCTCCCCACCACCTTCCAGCCCTCATCCGGCTTTACCTTCTGGGAATGAGAAGGGCTGTCTGCTAGGATGGATGGGGGGAATTCAGGGGGTATATGCCATGCCTGTCTGAGTGTCCTCCCTCTACCTCGCCCTCCCCCCGCCCCCAGACTGATCCACGAGTGGTAGGACCGCAGACCTTGTCACTCCTCCCCAGAGGGAGGGAAACAACTCTGACCTACCATGGCTGACTCGGTAGGGTGGTCCTGGAGAAGAGCTCCTTCCCCTTTTCGGCCACTGCCCAGGGGTCCTGGAAAATGGAGAAGCTGGGCTAACAAAGAGGGGGAACAGGGAACCCCCACTCTGGAATGTTGTGGGACTCCCAGGTTGTGAGGCCACGGAGTTTCTGGAAGTGTTTATCTGGCCCCACCCAATCCCCAGCAGTCCACAGCTCCTACTCCGGATGGGAGTAGGGGCTGGAACAGATGGAGCCAGCGCAGGGGGTGGGCTCCCGCAGTCCATCCTGTCTCCTAGTTTCAGCTCTGCCACCCGGGCGCTAAGAGGGTAACTCTGGGCCCGCCCATCCCTCCTTTGGCTTTCCCCTCCTCCTCCGCTACCCCGAACCGGAGAAAACCAGCCTGCGCTCGTCCCGCGCTCCGACTCCGAGTTGGCACGGGGGTAGGGGCGCCAGAAGGCCCCCAGGCGCTCTTAAGTCCTGCCCTGGGTGCTCTCCCTGTGCGGGGGGTGGGCCCTATATTCCAGGGTGGGGGCCACGTGGATCTGGCCAGGCGGGGGCTCAGCCCTCCCCTCGAAGGCCGGGGTGACTCAGGCCGCAGCTGTTCTCGCGTCACATGAGGGAGGCGGGCGGCCACTGGGCGGGGTAGGGAGCTGTGGCTAGAGCCGGAGCCGGAGTGGAGCCCGGGGCGGGGCCGCGGCGCAGGCGGGGTCGGAGCCTGGGGGCCGCAGCAGAGGAGTCCCTGAGCCTTGGCGGGAGAGCAGCGTACAGCCTCGGGGAGCCCAGGTAAGGCCGCGGGGGCCCCGCCGGACCTCGGCGTGGAGTGGGGAAGGCCACCGGAGCTCCTGCCTCCGGGGGCTCGGCCCGCGCTCTCCAGCCGCTCCCGTGGCCCTCGAGCAAGTTTACTTCAAAGTTCCA